GGCAATTCATTTTGATGAAGCTATAAGCTATTCTTCTCTATTTGGTGAGGGAGTTGTTTTAATTTTTTGTATCACAATAATTCTAACCAATAGAGATTATTGTAAAGAGGCAATAGATGCACTTCAACGGTACACATTCAACTACTCGTATTTTGACCTAAGTATATATGGATAATTGTGGGTAGAAGTTATTAAATTTATCAAATTTCTCATTTATTGTGGGTAGAAATTATTTTGAAAGTTCTTTTTTGCATGAAGAAGCGGGACAGAAGTGTTTTATGAGATGCGCAAAAAATGAAACAGGATGATTTATTTGGGACTGAGGGAGTATTTTTCTATACATATAAGCTAAGTGAAACCTTTATTATTTAACAAAATCAAATATTATCAAATTGGATTTAATGTTATTAAGTAAACACAAATAATAAAATCTTACATTGGGAAACGACTTATGTTTTAGTCCTAATCACTGCAAATTTCACAATAATATACTCCCTCCGGCCTAAAATTAACTTTTCATTTGAATTTTCACGTTCTCCAGTGCGACACTTTGACCATCAATATCTCAATTTTTATATAAATATATTTTATAAAAATTATATATTTTAAAACTATGTTTCAAAATGAATCTATTACTAATAAATTTATATGAAAATTCAATGTATTTTTTCGGTAATATACAGTCAAAGTTTAAAAAGTTTGACTATAAAAGTTAAACTGAGAAATTAATTTTAGGATGGAGGTAGGTAGGAGGTAGTAAAAAGTTGACATTCATAAATTAAGGTTAGAAGCGAAATCATTGCATTCCATGCAATGCACGACCAAAGGTGACTCATAAAGATTCGTTTGGATCGTCCAACTTTGTGAAACCAGAAAACAATATGTATATAGTACGGAGTATAGGGTTCAAAGATTCTACCTAGCTACTAGCTACTCTTTATTTGACACTACATGGTCTTTTGAATTGGTGTTACATGTTAATTGCTCCACACTATATTTGCTGGAGTCGAATCCAGACATTACTGAACTCAGACATTACGTTCTTAATTAGTTTGATAAATTTAACGTATGGATCTTGATGTTATAAATTGACATTGCATTCTTTTATTTCATTTCTTTAATTTCTTCGACTCAATAAATTTTCAAATTGAACATATTGAATTTATACTCTGTATTTTTTCTGTAGGTAATGGTAAAATGTTAGAAGTATTTAAGAATTTTATAAAAATATCATACCCAACTTTTTAACACCATTTTTTCACAGAATTTTGTGTGTTAATTGTATTTATGACGTTCAAACAATAATTATTTATGTGTCTTTAAGAAACAAAGTGTATTAAGAAGTTTATATTCTCCTAGCTAGTACTAACTCATTTTTCTTAAGAGTGACATCATTTAGTGGTTGACTTATCTCTCTCCTTTTTTTAAAAAAAAGGTGGAACACCACATCCTAATCCGGCGGCGGGATTGTGGAGGTAAATCACAATATAATCTCAATCTAGTTCTTAGAGAATTTATTTCGTGCCCGATACGCACAAAGAACTATTACAAATAATAGAACTCTTACATCCTCTCTGTCGAGATTCAACCCTAAAATTAACAAACTTGACATCTTCTCTAGGGTGTTCGGCAACACACTTATTGGATGCTCTATGCTCTTTTCTTTGTCAACCAAAAGAAAAGTTCCTTAAAGTTATAAAGTACATAGACATGCATGCTTTTGAATTGGTCAAAGTTTAAGGGTCCGTTTGGTACACGGAATTGATAGAATTGGAATTGAATTAGAATTAAGATTTAATGGGATTCAATTCTATATAACTGAATTCACCAATTTCTATTCATTTTTTGTACTACCAATTCTAAATCCACATAATTTGTGTTACCAAACACGAGAATTGGAATTAAAGTCCTCAATTCCAATTCCATAGTTTGAATTCCGTGTACCAAACGGGGCCTTAGTCTTCAGGTTTTCCATCCAAGAGTGCAAGGATACCAAATTTATTAGACCTCACTCTTTTCACAATTATTAACATTTCTCTCCATCCAAATTAAGAAAAATGATTATTTTCTTTTCATTTTCTTTCTTCTCATTCATATTCGAGTAAAACAAACAGTGGTTTAGAGTGAAAAATCGATGTAGTTACGTTTAGACTGTATTCTCTTTGGCTAATTCAAACTGAACTTTTTAAGGTTAATATGATCATATCTGAATGAATCTTATCTTATCTGAATGGATCTCATCAGATAGGATCTAATAGAAATGAATCTGATCTGATTTGGATGAATTTGATTTGAGCTAATTTGTGTCATGTTCTCCTCAATTTATTTTTTACTTATTACTTATATTCTTATTAAAATAGTATCAGATCAAAAACAGCTTTAAATATAACTACATTCAGGTTATATCAGATCAGGTCAGACCAAATGAGATCAGATCAAAATGTGTTCCAATTAGATCACGTGAAGAGAACATAACCTTAATCTGAATACTTCTGATCTAATTTAATTGAATATATATAATTCAAATTCAAGTTCAAACTATTACTACTCCCTCCCTCTCGAAATTATCTTCTTTGTTCACTATTCCAAAATCACGGTAATTTTTGCTTATTTATGCATTTTCATTGATTATTTAATAAAATAAAATATTTTTGTTACCTCTTGTTTTTTAGAACTTTTGATTTAGTTTATAAATATGTAAGTTTTATTTTTTATTTATATATCAACCTTTAAATAAAATGATTTGAAAATAATGATTCTGCTATTTTTTACCACTTCACGCGATTCAAATCTCAAACTTAAGTTACTTTGTTTTTTATATTTCTACTACTCATTTGAAAGATATATAGGGCGCGGACCTAGTACTTTTAAAATTTATTAAAAGAACTAAATAATTTAAAATTTTAAATAAATCAAAGACATGAATTTAAATATACATGAGACAAATTTATGATGTTTGTATCATTTTTTTGTTTTGTAAATTGTAACTCTAGCACTTTTCTAAGACCCCGCGGTGTGGCATCGGTATTGGTGACGTGGCGCGCCTTCCCGACGGGGAATACCCACCCCCCTACCGTTCTAGACGCCGACCATCACGAAGTCATTTTCATTTTTTTGTTTCCTTTTTAGAAATCACCCTAAATAGGACTAAAACATAGATAAAATTACCAAAATAGCACTTTCATATTTTTTCCCGAAACAAAACTTCACACTGTAGTAATATGGTTGTGATGTGGCATTGTACATGTGCATTTTAAGTTCTATTTCAAGAATAAAAACACGAAAATCCTATTTTGATATATTTTTAATGTTTTAGTCTTATTTTTGATCTTTCTCCCTTCTCATTTTGTTGTTGTAGTGTAAGTGTGATTTAATTTTTTTCTTTTTGCTATTTAACGCCGTTGCATTGGACTTGCAGCACTTTTTTAAATTTAAAAGTTCCTTCTCTTTTTAGACCCACTTCTTTTAACCAAAACTTTAAAAAATTGTCTCCACCAGAAAAAAAGTTCTTTAAGTACAAAATGTTTGTTGCCATAAATTATTTACAAATAGTTGGTGACAAACGCCGCACAAATTCTTCTAGCGCAACATGAAACTACAGAGTCATCGATGCCACAAAGAAGACAACAAGCGTTAAATGGAGATTGAGAGAGAATGATTTATTTTTGTATTTTGTCGTATAATCTATATTTTAAAAATATTTCACAATTTTATTCAATTTCAATAATTTTACTATTTTTTTATTCGTAGCTGGTCATGATTAGTTAGTTTCTGACTACTTTTCGGAGGACTCTGTCTACACTGACAACCAATTTAGGCGTCGCTTCCGCAGGAGTCGTCGGTTGTTTCTCCGTATTGTCGATGACTTGTCGCCTAGACCAACACGAGGAGACATTGAGAAGCTATATGCCACCCAAAATGCTAGACACAAATTTCCTGAAATGTTAGGGAGTATCGACTGTATGCATTGGGCATGGTCTAATTGCTTGAATGCGTGGGAGGGTTAGTACACACGCAGTGATCATGGACATTCAACAATAATCCTTGAAGCTGTGGCGGCACAAGATCTTTGGATTTGACATGCGTTATTTGGTGTAGCAGGGTCGAGTAACGACTTGAACATGTTGAATCACTCTAATATTTTCACTGACATCATAGAGGGTGTTGCACCAAATCTTCTTTTACGGTTTCGTGAGTGGAGTACGAGCATGAATACTATCTACCTGACGGTATATACCCGAGCACACGACTATAGCGAACGTATATCCTACCCCAAAATGAGGATTAAATGAGGATTCACGCCTCTAGAAAAGAATAAGGATAACATGAGGATTCACACTTATGAATAAGGATGTAATAAGGATGAAATAAGAATAAAATAAGGAACCTGATACGTCGGTGAGAGTAAGGATGGTGGTAATTAGGGGTGTTCAATCGGATCAATCTGATCCAATCCGATCCATAATATCGAATATCCAAATGTTTCAAATCTAGTAAAACTCATTTCATATCTGATTCAAAAATATATGGATATCCAAAATTTGGGTATTCAAATCTAGTAAATTCAACATAGCTTTGGTAAAAGCAGATGTGGTTAGGTCCATCTTTGAGCTTGCTCGAAGTCGCCGAGTTGAGAGACCGAGAAATTTCTCGTATGCATCTCTACAACTTGGCCAAGACTCAAGAGAGATGACTGAGTGTAGTCTGAAATTTTCTGTAAAAGAATGAAATCCGAATGATTGCCGTAAAAATTACCGTGTATGTTCCGAATAAGTCTGAAACGTAAAAGAATGAAGTCTTAAGCAACGGATTGGACGAGAATAAGGGTTAGTGGGTAAAAGTAAAACATTTTATTTTAAAAAAAGTACTTCGGATAATCAGATACCTGAATATCCAAAAAAAATCTAAAATTTAAATATGTATCCGATCCAATTTTTCTGGAAATCCGATCCGAGTATCCTAAAATGAAAAATATCAAATCAGATAATCTTGAACACCCCCTCATACTTTAAGAAAAAAATTGAAACGAGGGGAAAAAAATTGGATCCAAAAGGGAAGCATTAAAAAAGTACGTTTGGTCCATTGTGAAATCCGCCTGCGCCTTCCATTCCAAAACCCTTCTTAAAACACATCGATCTGCAACGCAAATTAAGCAGATAGATATCGGCATCAATGGCGATTACCTTGCTCCATCAGCCCCTGCCCTTTTTCAGTCGCTCTGTTGAAAAACCTAACCCTAATCTCCACTCTCCCGCCGCTCTTAAGTTCGGCGGCGGCGGATCTGCCCTAGCAGCTTGTTCTTCGGTCTCCATTTCCGACCCCGAACCGCGGTACGCGTCTGTCAAGTCCTTTGCTCCGGCCACCGTTGCGAACCTCGGCCCTGGATTCGACTTCCTCGGATGCGCCGTCGATGGAATCGGCGATTTCGTCACCGCCCGCGTCGATCCTGGCGTTCGGCCCGGGGAAGTCTCGATCGCTGAAATCTCCGGCGCGGGAGGTAAGCTTAGCAAGGATCCGCTGTGGAACTGCGCCGGCATCGCCGCCATCGCGGTTTTGCAGATGCTTGGCGTCCGATCTGTCGGCCTCTCCCTCTCCCTCGAGAAGGGGCTGCCGTTGGGGAGCGGGTTGGGATCCAGCGCAGCGAGCGCAGCCGCCGCCGCCGTCGCGGTCAACGAGCTGTTCGGCGCCCGATTGTCCGCATCGGACCTCGTGCTCGCCGCGCTAGAATCGGAATCCAAGGTCTCCGGCTACCACGCGGACAACGTGGCGCCCTCCATCATGGGCGGATTTGTGCTGATCCGGAGCTACAACCCGCTGGATCTGATCCGATTGAAGTTTCCACAGGAGAAGAGCCTCTTCTTCGTGTTGGTAAATCCAGAGTTCGAAGCTCCGACAAAGAAGATGAGGGCGGTCCTGCCGGCGGAGATCAAAATGGCGGACCACATCTGGAACTCCAGCCAGGCGGGAGCTCTGGTGGCGTCGGTGCTGCAGGGAGACTTGCCGGGGCTGGGGAAGGCGCTATCCTCTGACAAGATAGTGGAGCCCAGGAGATCGCCATTGATCCCGGGGATGGAGGCGGTGAAGAAGGCGGCCATTGATTGTGGAGCTTACGGTTGCACCATCAGCGGGGCGGGACCCACTGCGGTGGCCGTGACGGATGATGAGGAGAGGGGGAAGGTGATCGGAGAAAGAATGGTTGAGGCCTTTCTCCGGGAAGGAGGTCTGAAAGCTACGGCCATGGTGAGGAAGCTTGATAGAGTTGGAGCTAGGCCTATCTTCAGTGCTCCCAGGTGATAGATATTGTGATGAATTATATTATTCGTATCCCAAAAATTTTACCCCTACTCAAATAGTAGTGCTAGTATAATGGTTTACAAAAGATACAAAATGTAAGTATATTTTTTGTTATTACACTAGCATTTTATGTTAGTGTAAACTATGAAAATGTCGGTGCATCTCTCTTGAGAATAACTTGGTATTTTGATATACTACATGATTGTATTGTTTCTTGTTAACAATAATATGGAGTAATAATAATGATTGAGTGAGTATTTTTCTTTTATTACTCCCTATTTTATACTGCCTGCTGACTGTTTCTTTAAGGTCCCTTCGGTACACGGAATTGATGGAATTTGAATTGAATTAAAATTAAAATTTCATGTGATTATATTTCATAGAATTGAATTCACCAATTCCAATTTATTTTTTGCACTACCAATTCCAAATCTACATAATTTTTGTGTTACCAAACATGAGAATTGGAATTGAAATTCTCAATTTCAATTCCATAATTTGAATTCTGTGTACCAAATAGGGCCTTACTTTTTTTGTGAAATAGTTTGTTTACTTTTGTTTAAACTAAAGAGAATATTGTTACAAGAACTAAGCCAAACCTCCACATTTGTAGAATGTTTAGATGGGGAGGTTGGCAGGGAGAAATAGCTTAGTTGACAAAGATAAATAGTGAAAATGGGATAACTCTAGTTGGAGTCCTAACAAATTGTTGGGAGGAATTATTGTTAATCATAGGATATGTGCGAATGCAAGGTGCAAACTCTAGTCTTTGTTAACAATTTCACATCTAATTCTAATTTATTTTTTCTCAGTAAGGGTCTGAATAGACTTAAAGATTAGTAGGTATGAGGTTTACACCTCTAGAATGAATGGTGGTATGGCTTAGTAAAAAATGATGTACATGATCCTTGAAAGTCCCTCAGTAGTTAGTACCAATATTACGATCAACTGAAAGAAGATAAATTGAGTTATAATTAGGGGTGCATACAAATCAAATAAAATGTATTCGATTCGTGATTCGTATTCGAAAAGGATGATTCGTATTCGCTATATTCGAATTCGAATCCGAATACAAATCATATTTTAGATTCGAATTATTTTCGAATTCGAATACAAATATTAATAGATTCGATTCGTTTATTATTCAAATTATTCGAATATTATAATTTATAAATAAATTTTTATATATTCTAATATATTAAATATTTGTGTACATATTTTAACATATTTTAATATATTAAATTTTTGTGTACATATAAATTTATATATATTCGAATATTATAATTTATAAATAAATTTATTTATATTCTAACATTTTTTTACTACATTTTACATTATTATAAAATAATAATTTAATGTCTTTAAGAAATTTGTTTTAAGAAAAAAATTACTAATATTTTCGAATTCGAATATTCGAATACGAATTCAAATACGTCAAATATCTATCGAATCGAATACGAATGTTTTTTAAAATTTGAATTATATACGAATCCAAATTCGAATACATATCACTTTAATCGAATACGAATCGAATAGTGATATATTTGCTTCGATTCGATTTGTATACACCCCTAGTTATAATTACATGTTGATTTTGTTACACACGACCTTATGTTTAGTGGTGTTTCTCTCTTTATAAATTGGTTAAAACGGTTTATAAGCTATTTTTAACTCATAAGTAAGTTAATGATGCGTTTTTTTGTTCTACCAAGACCATGGTGCATCCCTCGTATAATGTTCCCTTAAGCATTATGCACCACCATGCCAACATTTGCATTGACTATATTTAATCAAAAGCTAGCGTCAACATTACACTTTAGGTCACCCGCTTTTGGGGGTTCCCACTTAGTGTTTGACGCCCCACCTACCCCATGGGTGGCATTGGCATGGCTAGAAGATAATTTTGTTCAAAAGACTATGTCTATTGAATTGGACAATCGCACGCTATTTCTGTCTCTTCAAGCAGATGAGGGTAACACCTCTTATTTCCTAGGTGTGGTGAATGATTGTAAAGTACTTGGGAAAGAATTTAATTCTCTCTCGTGGTCTATTGATAGAAAATCAATATTGCTCATTTGTTTGTTCGGCGTCTGACTTTGCATCTGATTTCTTGGAGTTGGTTTCCATCCCTTGAGCTCATATTTGTGATGCCTTCAACTTTGATACAGAGTACTATTCTGTAATAAAAATATGATTTCATTCTTTAAAAATGATGTATTTTTCTGTGTGTTTAAAACCTGACTTATAAGTTGTTCATAAGTAAAAAAATGATAAGTCTTACCTATTTACCCTTAACCCATTTTGTTATTTTTTTGTTTTTATCAAATTATTTAAAAAATTGTTTCACTATTTATAATCTAAGTAATTTTACTTCTACTCTACGTGGCAATATTTAACCTATAAGCAACCTATAAATTAAAACGGTGGGGTTCTAGTGACACCGGAGTACGGTGCCACTAGCGGTGCCACTGGCATTTTGGGACACCTCCGGTGCTCTGTTCGCAAAATTGACGGTTCTTACCCCCCAACCCACCCCCTAAACCCCCCACCCCACCTCCGCCCCTGCACCCCACCCCCACCCCGCTGTAAGCCCCCCACAAAATGTGTGGCTATTATGCAACGCATAATAGCTACACATTTTGTGGGAGGCTTACGGCGGGGTGAGGGTGGGGGGTTTAGGGGGTGGGTTAGGGGGGTAGGAACCGTCAATTTTGCGAACGGAGCACCGGAGGTGCCCCAAAATACCAGTGACACCGGAGTGGCACCGTACTCCGGTGTCACTAGAACCCCACCGAAATTAAAATTTGTTTATAAGCAATAAAAATGGTTTGAATATATGGTAGTGACCATGGAGTATACTACAAAGCAGGGCTACTCGTGGTTATTGGGACTAAAAGAAAAACCTGATTGGTATCTATTTGTATGGAATAATCTATCCATTCCAAAACATGAGATGCTTCAAGTGGGCACCAAAATAAATCATTGGCATTGACAGAATCTGTGGGTTGTGTAAACAAGAAGCTAGCTAGCTAAGAGGAAGGTCAGGATCATCTCTTTAGTAACTGCTAAAGGACTTATTAACAAAACTTCACCTTGGCTGAAATACAAAATTGAGGGCAGGAGTGTATGGGAGATAAGGGATAATCTCAAGAAACTCAATGGGAAGAGGAAACAACAAGCTACAAGCTTACATACAACAATCTGTTATAGCATTTGAAGAGCTCGTAATATATAGATTGTACCATTCCAAAGAAAGAACTCAAGAAGAGGATATGTTTTATTGGGAAATGATGAAAAAAAAAAGGGGAAGTCAAGTAGCTAGCAAGCTTTGGTTTATTTTTGAAGTTGAATTTGTAATCTTTGTGGCTTTCGCGGCTTGTACTGCTGTAAACTTCTTTGGGTTACCAAATATAAACCCTATGTTTCAAAGAACATGGTTCTTCTCTCACACATCGCTGCATTAATTTTGAATAGCGAAATCAATAATAAGATTCATCTCTTCTATCTGCATTAATACAATTATCATCTCTCGCATTGATTAAAAAACATTATTCATTTTCCGCACATGATTCAAATATAAAAGCTTGGATTAGTACTGTTATGATTCCAAAAATAATAATTAAAGAACATTAAAAATTCAACGATTCCACTCCTTTAATTCAAAAAAAAAACTAATATAAAAAATATTAGTGATTTGATGATTGTGAATATAAATTTAGAAAAAAAATTGATATATTTTTTTTAGTTTTTTTCTTTCTATTTGAATGCAAAATCATTCAAACCCGTGAAAACATTTTTTTCTTAATTTATTTTTTAAGTATTTGATTATTTAAAAAATACTTTAGTCATGTCTTATTTATGGTATATTTATGTAGAGATTAAAATATATCTTTTTGTATTTTATTTTAAATAAATATTGAAAATAAATAAAATACAATCTAACTTCCTTGAAACATGTCGTAAACAAATATACATTTTTAGAGGTTAGGAAAGTATATTTTTTTAGAGAAGGAAATTTTATTTATTTATTGATAGTCTTATTACAAATGAAGTGAAAACTTGTTCAATTTTAATCAAGTCATGTATTGATTTTTAATTTTTTAATGTAGTTATTGAAATGTATTTTTTTAAAATTTAAGTTATTAATGTTATTAAAATAAATAGATTCAAAACTATTTTCATTTTATCATATCAAAAACTAATACTCGTATGAAAGTTATTTAAATGTGAAAAAATCATCTTATTTATTAACAAAAAGTTTTTTTTATAAATGAAGAGAGTAAAAAAACTATATTGATTTGGAAAGAATATTATCATAAAAATAAATATTTCTCTTTCATAATAAAATTTTCCAAAGATTTTATATCCAAATATTGAATTCACATGTTCTATATCTTAAATCAGTTGACATATTGGTTGTCAAAAGAAATATAAAATTTATTTATAGGTGAAGAAAATATTTTATTTAGTAGGTTTCAATATTTAAATAAATATAATCAAATGAATATCATGTAAACGTATAATGATCAAATGTAGAATTTATTTATAGGTGAGGAGTATATATTTTTTATTATTCTTAATATGTTTTTGTAAATTTTATGATTGATTGATTCCGAGACATGCATTATAAATAATTTTATGTATGGTTGTGAATAAAAGTATTTTATTACAAATAATAAACTATACGGAAAATATTTTTTATTCTAAATTTGGATTGCTAAATTTAAAATAAGCAATTTTTATTTTTGGAAAAAGAGTAAATAAAAGGTGAAGTGATTGATGAGAATAAATTTAATTATATTGCCACCTTATGTCACAGATTAAGTTCTTACTATACCAAGTATCAAGATCTTAATATGTCAAACTCAGAAACTTCGAAGCATTGAAGTTTCAAATTTATATATAAAAAATATTATATACTGTAATAAAATATTACATGTATATCCTATTTTTACTTTTCCTTTTTGAATGCCTCTAATTTCATATGTACAAAATTTAATCATATAATTTTACATTTTTTGAACTTGGTGGAAAAAACAAACAAAAAGACTAAAACGGACAATTGACGGCATTTTTTCAATAATTTGCAACCAAGATTCGTAAATCTTGACCTCAAAAAAAATCGAACTCTAGGAGAAAGTTTGGTTTGGAAAGGCTGAAGTTGAACAGATACGAATATACTCCGTATCATTCATTGAGTTTCTTCTAAAATGTAAAAACAAAAAGGAACCAGAAGAAATTAGAAGGAACTGTTGAAA